CACCAGCATTCAAGTCTTCGTTTTTGAAAAGTCTTTGCGTATTTTCTCTCTGATTCTGCGAATTGATGATCTATTTACTATTAATTATAGTTTCCAGTTCATCGGAAAAATTCGAAACTGATGATATTGTTTTTTGACTCAACTTATCATTCGTTCGCCTTCACTGCTTGATGTAAATTCCATGAATTCATCTATTTAATAAACATAAAAGACATAAAAATTACAATTTGTTATTGAACTTAACATGCAATCATATAAACTGATCGAAAAAAGTTAAGGATATTGTAAATTCTCTGAGAAAAAAATAGTTTTGAAAAAAATTTGTATAACGTGCATTTACTGTCATCTCTTTTAGAAATAAAACACATTTGTTTAACTGAAAAAATATTTTAATTAAAATTTACAGGCAACTTTTCTCTTACAATGTAACAAAACATATAATTATCAAAAAGAAAAAAAATATTAATAGCGTGTAATTCCAGCTCTGTTGGCTATTACTGCTTCAGCTCGGCGAGGCATGCTTAAAATTAAACGATCCAAGTCATTTTAATCCAAGGTATCCCATAAATATGGAAGAACTTTCCTCAGTGACCTTACGTCTTAAACAGGAGGTTGATGGGCAATTGGTGCCCTTCCGAGCATGTCCCAACCATGCTCGATGCAGTTTAAATCTGGAGAGAGCGGGGGTAATGGCAAATGATTAATATCATGGAATGCTAGCCGTTCTTGTTCTACCCTGGGTCTGTGCGGGCGAGCGTTATCATTCAGAAATCTGAAATTGGGCTCCAAATTCCAACGATAATCATCCACAATGTTATCAATGATGTCGTGAGCATAAACTTCACCTGTCATGGTACCTACCACAAACATACAACTCCGTTCGACATCCGTAGAAAATTCCACCCCAGACCATTACACCTCCACCTCCAAATGGATGCACTTCTTGAACATACCGGTCATTAACTCTTGAATTTCTTGGTCCCCATGGGGACACAAACTGTAAGTCTGTCAGCACAAAGACAAAAGCGGCTTTCATCGCTGAACATCACAGTACGCCACTCATCATTCCAGTTGGCTCTTTCATTACACCAAAGCAAACGATGAGCTATACGCTAAAGAAGTATTGCTAGTAGCGCCACCACTCGGTTGTTATCATCGTAATAAAAGTATAACTTTTAATAATCAGTTGTCAAACGCTTATGTTACAAACGAGTGTTTTTAAGAATAAAGCCGGAAAATGTTAAAAAATATCGAAAAAAAAGCCGTGGCTTGATATGTTGTGTTGTTGGGGCATTTCGAGAGGAAATCCTGGGTTAAATTTTTACCGGTTTTCCAATAAACAGTGTTAATCTGAATGAAGAAATAAATTGCATACAGTCTCTGTAAATATAAATTGTACCTACTTATTAGATACAATAAATACACATTTTAGTAGTGATTAAGGTGAAAACTGTAAACATTTCAATTCAGTAAAAATCGTCAAACAAATAAGTCGTCTAAATTTAAACAGCATTTAGCATTATGAAAAGCGTTGATTAAGAAAATCTCCTTTCAACGGTTAAATACCATTATATAGTTTATTATATATAATATTATGTTGCCATGAATTCGTAGGTATATTTTGTTGTTTAAAATGCAGTTGTCGGCCTTTTTTAGAGAACTCAAACATAAAAATGGTTGATTTTAAGGTTATGTTTGTGCAAAAATTATTTTTTACTAATTTCTTAAAAATCTCCAAACTTAAATTTATATTATATTAGGTAAAGTACAAATATACTTACAGAATTGGATCCTTTGGCAAAACATGAAAATGCAACGATTTACCCTGCTTAAAATACCCCATGGAGACCTATACAAAATAATCTATCGGGCGCAGGGCTCCCAGCAGGTAGTTTTTTTAAAGACTTGTCTATATTTTTGTCTTAAGTCTATAAAAGTCTATTTTTTTACCTAAAGTCTATAAAGTCTATATTTTCTGTTAAAATCAACTATTAAAAAATAATATAAATATTCACAGTTTTATAAATATCGAAACCACAGTAAACCAAGTGAAACATTCGAAAACTTCGCAGTTTACATTTAAAGTTCCCGCCGTCCAGTCCTGAACCGCCCGCCAAAATTATTGCTGAATTTTTTCTGGTTTGGTCTAGGGTTTCGTTTACGTTTATGGTTTCGGTTCGCTAGGTTAACACTTTCATTTTTCATGTAATTAGTAAGTACCTAGTATCTAGCAAAGAACATGTGACAAAGAATGTGTTCCTATTCTATGTTTTATCATCCATTCCATAACCCTAAAAAATATGTTCAGACGATAGCAAAGGTAAGTGTATAACTATAGTTTTGATTATTAAAAATTATACATTTATATTATTTAATAAAAACAAAGTTTAAATGAACTTGTACTGACATAAAAAAAATAAATTGAACGATTAAGGAAAGGTGCAGAAAATTTAAAAAAAATTACTAAAATATGTATGGCTCAACTAATGTTTGAAGGAGTGAACCATCCCAAAAAAGAAGCGGGGAAGGTAACTTACAAGATTAGTCGTCTTGCCCAAGATTTAGAAAAACGAAAGGCGAAAATTATAGATCAGCTGCAACCCACCAAAAAAAATATAACCCATTAAATGACTGATGCCAGTGCCTTTTATATAAATGTGATTCTATTTATTATAAGTTATAATTTATTACAGAATTTAATATTTTTTTTGTTATTTATGTATTTTATAACAGTTATGGTTACTTGTTAAATTTAATTCAATAAAAATTTATAATTTCAAGATATCTCTATGTATTTTAAATTCAAATTTAGATCTTTTATCCCAAAAAAATTATACCTCCATTTTATAGTTATTTCGGTAATTAATTTGGTCTATATTTGGTCGTTTATTTTTTATTATTAGTCTCTTAAGTCACTATTTCTCGCAACATGGACTGCTGGGAGCCCTGATCGGGCGCTACCGGATTCAATATGTGCATTTGTCCATGGTTTTTTCCGGATATGGCCCGATAGAAAATGTATAGGAAACTACCCATAGGCACACAATAACATTTACATTTTCCCTATTGAGACCGATAGAAAATAACTCAATGAAGGATATACCTATATCCCTATAGAGCAACCATAAAACACTTGACAAAATTTTATTAAAGCCTATAGGGTACTATGGGGAAAAAAGTAATTTCTACATTTATGTGTATCTTCCCCATTGAAACCAATAGCAAATAAATCAAGGATGGATATCCCTATAGAACAACCATAAATCCCAACTATGGGTCCTATACATACCGATACACCCTATAGAAACACCATACATTCCGATATAAATATCTATCGGTTTGAACAGGGTCTCTATGGGGTGTTTTAAGCAGGGTAGTTCTTGAATTTTATTAACAATTAAAAAAACAATAATTCACCATGATCCCTTTGATAAAATACACACACTAACGTAACTATATAAGCATTTAAGCGTTAAGTTTCTTAATCAATGATATAAGAAATAATCAATCGAAATCGAGTACTAAAAAAGTTTTTTAATTTTTTCCTTGCAACCTAAAACACAATTAACGTACGCGATGTAGCTGTGCAATTGAACAAAATTTGTCGAGTAAGACTTCTGCCTTCCTCTCTTTTGTATAAAACTACCTATTTATTTAAATATGATGTATAGTTCGTATGATTTAAATGTATTGTTGACAACTCTTAAATTCACGCAATGCTTTTGAAGCCCCCTAAATGGCGCGCGCGTTGCGAAAACCCGATACTTCTTTAGCGTATTGCTTACTTTAATGAGAGGTATCTTGGGTTAGGTCACCTAACTTAGGTGTGCGTCAAAATAACTCGCTTGTCGATTTCTCAGGTGTGTTGATACCTAAATTATTACAAAATTGTGAAATATCTTGGTTATTATTAACTTTAGGTATAGGGAATGGTTATACCAATCAAAAGGTAATTTAATAATAAATTTAATTCTGCAAAAACATACATACAGTTTCTTAAAAAATAAGAAAGTTATTAACGTTTGAAGTTTGCCAAATTCAATTCTGCAAAAACATACATAGCGTTCCATTAAAAATAAGAAAGTTATTAACGTTTGAAGTTTGCCAAATTCACCCTAATTTTTATTAAGTAATTGGTTAGAAATATGACAAAGTTTGACGCGGGATAGTTAAAACAATGTTTCAAGATTCCAAAAATCCAAACCGCATACCAATAGACCTAATAACAAAGAAGTTATAGGCTATTTTTCTTGAAGGCGCAAAAAAATTAATAACTCGAAAACTATTGTTTAGGTATAGAAAATGTTATACAAATTTTATTTGGAATTACATATAAAATTTAAAAATCAAAAAATATACAGGGTTTTGGAAAATAGACTTGGTCCGATCATATTTACTAATTTCATATCGATTATATATAATAGCAAAAAAAGTATGTACTGATTACGGAGCGCTGGGTCACCCTGTATCTTATGAAAAAGTAAAAAATAATTTAACGTTGCATTTAAGCTCATACAATGACATAAATTAAATTCAAATTATAAAGTCTTTAATAAAAATTTAATATATTTCATGATACAAATGTTTATTTTATAAATATACTTGATAATAAGGTAAGGTAAGGTAAGGTACTTATTGATAATTATAGAAAAATTAAACTTTGAGTCCGAATAACTTTTAAACCAATAGACAAAACGAAAAATTGTAGGATACCTTTTTTGTAGAGCGTTAAATTTTCTATAAAAATATGTATTACTCATTATTATAAATGCATTTGTAATATTAAAAGCTCAAATTTTCAGGGAATTTTTTTTATCAATTCGGAAGCGTTGTGAGCCCCTGGGAGCAAAGAAATTCAAAAACACCCCTTCTAAGAACCACCATACTAAAACCTTTTAAGAAGATTATAAAAACAGTTTAAAAAAAGTCTTTTTACAGTAATTTACAATTTAACACTTTTTCCTCAGTTTTTTACAACAAAAATTTTTTTCTTGATTCAGGAAAATGCCATGAAACTGTTGGCCGCCGGCGGCATCAGCGAAGAGCCCCACATGAAAGACGCCTTGAGCAGGGTGATTGTGGAAATGGTGAAAAGAGAGTGGCCTCAACAGTGGCCAGATCTACTCAACGAACTGTCGAACGCTTGCCAATGTGGAGAAATTCAAACAGAACTTGTGCTGTTGGTGTTTCTTAGGCTTGTTGAAGATGTCGCCCTACTTCAGGTAAGGTTTAAAATGTAAAAAGTCTAATTTAAAATGGCAAAAACAAATTTTAATTTGTCAAAACCCTGAAAAGTGTCGAAATTACTTACAATTTAATGTAAAACGCATTTTGGAATGTTTTATTCAGTTTTAGAACCACTTTTAACATTAGAAACTATTTAAAAACATTTAAAAAACGGTTTTGAAAAAGATATGGAACATTTTTACAATACTATTTGGTAAGATTTTTAGACAGCTAAATTAAATCCCTTTATTTTTACAAGTATTTTATGTTTAGAACATTTTGAACTATACTAAAACTATTTTCAGAACACCTTAAAAACAGTGATTTGTGTTAACAAATATCTTATTTAAAATATTTGTGTGACAATTAGGCCGTTTTTTTTAAACCTACACCCAACTACTGTAGTTGTAACTGTTGAGTGAGTAGAGATGCGACTTGAAAAAAAAAACGGTCCGTTTTTTTTGTTTTTTTTTCAGGTTTTTTTTCATTGTTTTTTTTTTCAAATGGTTTTTTTTCACATTTTAGGTTTTTTTTTTCAATATTAGTCCCATTTGCCTAATTTTTTGTTTCCAGTCTAGTTCATGGACTAAAATTAGTCACTAAATGACAATTAGTAAATGTAAATAGCCTCGCGCTATGCACGCGCCACCACCACCGAATTGATCAATAAGGGCCGGACTTGATTTTTCAAAAAGCTACCAATAGCACTTTTTTCATGATTTTCCAAATTCATGTAGAGTATGGATTTTTTTTTAACCAATAGCAAATTCTTGTAGAACATGTATTCATTGGTGGTTAAGTCAGAACATTCCGTGGACCAGAAAGCCAAAAAAAATTCGATTTTTTTATTACGGTATTCGTTAGGATTGAGCGTTGCACGTTTTTCATCTAAAAATCTCAAAACTAGAAACTTCAAGCTTCATATTGCTTTTTTTACGACCATTTTAACAAAGATCTCAAGAATCGCAAAACATTTTTTTATCCTTTAATTTTTTGTATTAGTATAGAAGTGTTACATTGCTATTGGTTTCTAATGTGGAAACTACCAAATAATAAGAAAACAGATTTTTTAGTCTCGGTCAAAATTTTCAACGTGTTAGCAATCTCTATGAGTGAGGTTGTAACACGTTTTTAAACCTACACCCAACTACTGTAGTTGTAACCGTTGAGTGAGGTTGTAACACAGGCCAATATTTATTTGTATCACCCATATCCTTTCTCTATAGTATCACATCACATACAATAAACTATACAGAATGTGATATCAAGGTTGAAATAGCAGGGTTGCCACTCATCTGGAAAACCTGGAAATGTCAGCAAATTTAAATTTTTAAGAAATGTCAGGGAATTGGCAAAAAAATCTACAGTCAGGGAATTCCTAAGTCGGTCAGGGAATTGGTTATTAATAAATAAAACTGGTCAACAAAATTTTCATTAAAAAAAATTATGTTAAGGAGTGCAATTTCAATTTAATTTATTCAAAATATGGCAGCGCTATATGTCAAAGTTATCACTATAACATTAGAAGTCTATATCACGACTTATCACTATAATCTTCTAAGACTATAACCAACTATTTTTATGTTTAGGGTGTAGTATTTAGCATAATTAATAAACGAATTAATTAATCAGTAAAATCATAATTAATAAATTAATTAATTAATCAGTAAAAGACTTTGAAAAATCATAGTTCCTGTTGATAAAAAACCGTTTTAAGCCAAATGTTTGATTTGCAAGCAGTCATATGCCACATAAAAAGTGCGGACCATTAAAAAAGGATTTTGGCAACGGAGAACACAAATTTGTCAAATTTTCTTAAAAAAAAAAGAACCAGATGGAAAATACTACTTTCTAAAAATGAATCAGTTAAAAATGACTAATTGTCATAGCGAAAAAGCAGCCACTAATAATTATAGTCAACAGCAATTTGTGTCCCGGATATTTAGCAGTCAATTCCTATGTAAAATTGTCTGCTGAATCCGAATATGTCGTCAAAAGTTATAAAAGTAGGACAGTTCTTAAGATTTATTCAATTTTCGATATAATATGGAATTGACTATATCTCAAAAACTGCTATGTCTTTTCGGATTCAGGAGACAATTTTACATGAGAATTGGCTGATAAATATCCTGGATACCAATTGCTGTGGACAGTTATTAGTGACTGCAGTGAATTAGTCAAAATTTACATATTTCAAAGTGAAAAACCATGCTTTTTCACTATGAAATATGTCATTTTTAACTATTCTTTTTTAGAGAGTATGCTTGAAAAAGGTACAGTTTTACATGATATTATTAATAATAATATTGCTTTAGAAAATAACCAGAATAAATCAATTTCTTCAATAAAAACTCCTGCAAAAAATGATAAAAGAAATAAAATCTTTTTTTTTTGTGCTATCAAATATTTACTGATAAGAACTCATCAACTTGATAAACAAGACCTGCCGCAGACAAAATTTCAGAGGCATTTTTAAAAATTTCATTATTTCTGTCATTTTCAGATTGAACAGAAAATTAATGTAACAAAAACCCAAGAAACAAAAACCAAAATTAAAATTTATCCCGAAAAAATTTGCTACAGAAAATTTTTTGTTTGTTTTTTTTTTAATAAGAAGTATTGATTTTTTGTTAAAATTTTTAATTTTATAAACTTCAATAAAAGTTTAGTTTTTTCATTAATCGTTATAATTCTCCACCAAGACAAAAATAAATTCAAGTATTACATAAGCACCAAAGGGGGGAGTCTTTGCTTGATTGCTTTGATTTTTTTTGGATATATTTTTTGTTTGTTTTTTTTTTTAATAAGAAGTATTGATTTTTTGTTAAAATTTTTAATTTTATAAACTTCAATAAAAGTTTAGTTTTTTAATTAATCGTTATAATTCTCCACCAAGACAAAAATAAATTCAAGTATTACATAAGCACCAAAGGGGGGAGTCTTTTCTTGATTGCTTTGATTTTTTTTGTATATTTTTAATAATAAGCTTTACTTACTTTTGCTGACAAAGGGAAGGGGGGGGTTAAAAACTACAAAATTAATGCTTAAGCAGGGCTCCCACACCTCCTAAAATTCATAAAATTCCTAAAATTTGGCTTAAATCTTAAAAACTCCTAAAATTCTCCTAAAATTACCATCAATCTCCTAAAACTCCTAAAAATTAAATATAAGTAGGCCAACTTGACTGCGTTTAATTAAGGTAGTTTTGCTAAAAAATTTCTTAAGGAATTTGACTTGTGATAAGATAAAGTATAGACAAGGTTACAAACATTATTTTTATTATTATTTCGTGTATTATTGTTATTTCTGTAATATTTTAGACTCTGGAGTCCAATCAACGCCGAAAAGACATCTACCACGCCTTAACAGCAAACATGGCGACTATTTTTGAGTTTTTCCTGCGTCTAATTGAGCTTCATGTCGGTCAATTTCGGCAATGCAGCGGTGACCCGCAAAACACCTCCAAAGCTGCGGCACACGGTCGCGTTGTGCAGGTGGTTTTGCTGACTTTGACCGGATTTGTGGAGTGGGTCTCTATGGTGCATGTGATGGCTCAAAACGGGCGACTTTTGCATATTTTATGCTTGTTGCTGAATGACGTAGCTTTTCAGTACCCAGCGGCGGAGTGTCTTTCACAGGTAAGGTTTCATTTTATAAAGTGTCAAATAACTTTTTATTACAGAGGTCATATTTTCTAAGAGTCGCTAGGATGCATTTTTTAGAGTATATTTAAAACGTTTTCTTTTAAATTCATCAAAATTAATACAATCACCGGCAAAAAAACCGGCCACCAGAAATTGTCAACAATTGTTGATTTATTTTCTCGCAAACAGTCCATCTAATTTTGATGATTTCATTATGGCTTCACTAACAAAACTATGTTTTTTTATTTAAGCCTAATATTATACAGGGTACAAAAGTAAGAACAATTTTTTTCTAAAATTTGTGACACCCTGTGGGGTGCATCAGTAATAACAGCGGATGTAAATTGAAATCATACAGTAGTCCTATCTTTTCTAAACATTTTGTTTTTTTATTCACGTTATTATCTCTGTTATTAACACTGTGTAAAGCCAACTCTTTGAATAAAGTTTTCGTATGATTTCCTCGCAAACTACTCATCTGATTTTGATGATTTTTTTTAACTGCAGGTTCACTCTTTAGTAGTTAGTTTTAATTTAAATTTTAATCAGGAAAGTTTAATAGTCAATAGAACTTGCAAAAATAAGACAAAAAGTTTATATGAACTGTTTTTGGGATACAGAGTGTTTATAAAAAAAGTTAGGACTGCTTTTTATAAATTTGGTATCATAATTAGATTAGCAATTAAAAATACATATTTTTTGTCCCTTGCATTTTTTTTCACCTAGCTTAATTTTCAAGAAAAAACTTAAATTGATTTATACAGGGGCAAGCAAACTAAGTAATTTTATTTTTTTATTGCAAATTAAACAAGATAGAAAAGAAATGCAGTAGACAAAAAGTTTTATAAATAATTATTTAATCTAAAAATAATATTAAACTTACAAAAAAGCAGTAGCATACACAAATTTTATTTTTAAATATCTAGTTGGGATGGCATTTTATTTTTGCGAGTTTTATCGACTACTAAATTTTCCCGATTAAAATATTAAATCTGAACCCTTGTACAGAGTGCAAAAATACGATTTTTTTCCGAAATTTGTGGGATAAATTAGCAAAAACAGCGGATGTCAATTGGAATTTTACTGTAGCTCTATCTTTTCCTAAAATGTGTTTTTTTATTAACGAAGATTTACTGTTTTAAAGCAAACGCACCGGATAAAGTGTTAAGTCAACATACGCTGAAACAAATGTCATTTATTTTGAAACATGACAGTAAAAATTGTCAAAGGGTGTCAAATAAAAAAATACCGTTATTTATGACGGATATTCCTCGGCATTTCTGGCATTAACTCAAGATGGTCGAAGTTAACGTTATGTGTTTAATACGAAAACTTTATCCAAAACAGTGTAATTATATATTTTATACCTACTAAAAAAACAAAATGTTTAGAAAATATAATAATAATAAAAATTAATTGATTAGAATGGCGAATAAGGATACTTCCGTGCTTGTTTATGTTTTTATTGCGACTAGTTTCGATCTATATTAGATCATCTTCAGGCAAACTACAAAAATATGTAAAATTATTATAAGGTTATGTTAACATGATAATGATAAAATTAATCGCTGTGTCTAGTCTCACGCTAGCGTGAACGCAATTTTATTCTTATTCTCACGCGGTGACGCCACTAAAGGTAACATAACCTAAGATTCTTTCAAGAATCTAATTTGTTCTGTGAATCTAATTTTCGCGGTTTTGGGGTTTTTTAAACGTTGGCAGGCGGTTTAGTCGATTTGTGAAATCTGCCCTGATACAAGTGTACGTAAAATGTATTGCCATGGACAAAAACAACAATAATGATGAGTTAAAACTAACTACCTATTGGAAAATCGTTCATTTTGCCCATTTTAGTTGTGTTTTTTGCTCAATGGGGCGGGGGGGGGCAATGGGGTGGGGTCGGTTGGGTTGTGTTGTTGAGTTTGGGTTGGTTTGGCTGCAGTAAAAGAGTCTCGATTTTATTATTAGTAAATTTTATTACATTTACATAATCAAATCAAATGACATAATCAAATAATAATCAAATCAAATGACACGACACCTAAAAAGTAAAATTAAATAAAATAATGCTGGCATAATTATGTCCACTACACATGGGCTTTTTCTATTTTCGCCCCCCCCCCCTCAGTAGATGTCTAAAACCGCCCCTGGGCAAAGTTGGCAGCCTTAGGTTTAACCAAAAACCAAAAGGCTATAATCTGTATTTATATATACGAAGTTAACGTGAGAATAAAAATTAAATTGCGTTCACGTTAGCGTGAGAATAAGAATAAAATTGCGATCACGCTAGCGTGAGACTAGACACAGCGAAAATTAATAGTTTGAAGTAATAATACAATGGTTGATAACAAATATTAAATACTTACATGTCAATAATTAAAATATTTGTAAAAAGGTTTAACAATTATAGTAAATATATGCATAAAGATAGTTTTAGATTCTGATTAAAATTATTTACAATATACAATGACTTGTTAATGTTGTTTGAAGGATGATGTATTCTGGGTTGCTGGTAGCTATAGGTGTTTAAATATAGGTTCAAATTGTAGTTCTATTTGTTCGTTTTATAAGTTATTTTTGTTTCTTTTTTTATGTTTGTATATTTCAAAGGCTTCTAATAGTTAGCTTTAGTCCTTTTCCTTCTTGGTGTATTAGTTTTATGTTTTTCCAGTCTTTAAAATTGTGCCCGCTTATTTCTAAATGTCTACCAAAGTTTGATGTTTTTTTGTCCTTTATGTGTTCTTTAATTCTGGTTCCGAGTGTTCTTCTTCCTATTTCTCCTATATATTCAGCATTACATTCTTCACATTTAATTTTATAAACACCGCTTTTATTGAGGTAGTGTGTGTTATCTTTTCCATTTCTTAGGTGGTTAATAATGTTTTCTTTTTGTGATGTGGCGCTATTAATTTCAAATGTTTTAAGGATTTTAGATATTTTGTTGTTTATGGTTCCTTGATATGTAAATTTTTTGTATGTATTGTATAAATAATCAAAAAACAAGAAAAAAGACATTTTAACTCGCACTTAATCGGCCAAACAGATAAAAACAAAAACAATGTCGTCATATGACATATCGTGAGATTGGGTCATCCTTGGGCATGAGTGGGACCAGCATACATTCAATATTAAATGAACATTTGGCCGTCAGAAAAAATTGTTACCGTTGGATCCCACATAATTTGACAATCGATCAAAAAAAGCTCGGGTCTAGTGGTCAATAGAAATGCTTAAAAAATACGATGGCGGAGCTTCAAAACATGTTCATGACGGTGACGAATCATGGATCTATGTGTATGAACCTGAAAGTAAACAGCAGTCGACTGTGTGGGTCTTTAGAAGCGGTTGATGCGTTCAAAATGCATGTTTTGGAGGTGCCTCAATCGGAGTGAAAAAAATGCTTCGAAAATTGGTTCAAGTGCATGCAAAAGTGTGTCGATCTTCATGGAGAATATTTTGAAAAACAATAATGCCATGTACGATGATTAATTGTTGTTTGTTTTCTCTATTCCCGAAATATAAAAGGCAACCCTCGTACCTATATTGTAAATAATTTTAATCAGAATCTAAAACTATCTTTATGCATATATTTACTATAATTGTTAAACCTTTTTACAAATATTTTAATTATTGACATGTAAGTATTTAATATTTGTTATCAACCATTGTATTATTACTTCAAACTATTAATTTTATCATTATCATGTTAACATAACCTTATAATAATTTTACATATTTTTGTAGTTTGCCTGAAGATGATCTAATATAGATCGAAACTAGTCGCAATAAAAACATAAACAAGCACGGAAGTATCCTTATTCACCATTCTAATCAATTAATAAATTAACCTTGCTAAAAATGGACTACAAAAAAAAACATGCATACAAAAAGTTCAGCTTACACTGTAGGACTATACATATACAGGGTGTTTCAGAATAAGATAAGAAGTTGAAATAAACCTATGACCTAAACCTCTTAATTTTTGAGTTACAATGTGTTAAAGTTTTAAGAAAAAAATCGTTATACAGGGTGTTATGTAATTAATGTTATATATTAAAATACTGAATACCTTTTGACATAAGGAGTAAAGGAAAAATTTTTAAAAAAATATTTTTCCAAAGATAAAGAAAAAATATGCATTAGAATTTTTTTAGATTTTTTGTGATACGCCACTGGTTTATCTCTGCACACTTGTGTTCTGTGAGGACATAGATACAAACCAACAAAGTAGCTGCGCGTTGCCAGATGTAAAAAATTGTTATTAAAAATTTTTCTTGCAAAAAATAAAGCGAAACTCAATAAATACAAAAGTTTTATGCCCTTAAAGCTCTAATACCCTTCTGTATTTATTTACTCATCCAGCTATTAGCTTAAGCAATGTTTAGAAAATTTAGTAGGTACCTATTTTAAAAAATCCATAACCACAAAATTAATTTTTTCATCGGTTTTTATCTTTGTTTACTCAGATGAAATTGGGACCAGTTCACAGGTTAAACTTTAAACATTTAATTTGTGTAAATAAATCCAAAAGCACTTCCCTTAGTTAAGATATTTACAATTTGAGCACATAACCTAAAATTTGAAAGAAATGCACTAGATTCTGTCATAAAAGTTGGCAGATTTTGTTTGAATTTACCTTCAGTACAAAAATGACATAACCAACAATTAATAAAAACGCCAAATTGACAATTTGCATTGTTAATTTTGTCATTTTTGTAATTAAGCTAAATTTAAACAATGTTCTTCTTCTTCTTCTTTGTTTGGTTTGGCCTTTCCCATCCAGGATTTAGCCAGCTTAAATGTGTATACTGCTATAACTGGGGAGGGCGAGTCTAGGAGTTCCTATAGCCGCTCCCTTTCTTTTCAATATTAATTATTTTTTCTTCTCGTTTTCATCTGGATTATTTATTTTATTCTTCAAACTTATATGTCCATTAATATCACTTCAGTCTTTATAGTTCATAAAACAATCTTTTATTTTAGCATTTCGGTTCGAGCTTAACAAAACTTATCGGTATATTTATAATTTAAAGTCATTCTTATTTCACTAATACACTAATGTCTCAAACATAAAACGAAATCACGATACACGCAGCCGAAGTCATACAAAAAAATAGAGGGCAAAAAAAATAGCAAAAAAAACCCACGATGCACTACATGGCGGTTTGCACATGACTATTCAATCTTTCAATATTTCGACCATCCTTTGTGGGAACTTATTGCATCTTCACAAATCTAATGTAGATTTTGGAGTTTTGGCACTGATCAGCTTAATTTTGTGCTGTGAGCCCCATATTGTCCTCCCAAGGACTCTTGTCACTTCAGCGGACAACACAGAACTCAATGTTTGTCAACTTTTTTGAAAGATTTTGGAAACACTGTTGTTACCAACCATAACATAATAAAGTTCCTAGTCGATCAGTGGCGTACTTTTTGGTAGGATAAAGGTTATTATAAATTATTTTTAGACTTTGGAATTTAGAAAAAAAAAGTTTCAGGTGCTTCTTTATGGACCCTAAGGAACAACCCATTTTAATATATAACATTAATTACATAACACCCTGTATATATATATATGCTTAAATTAAAATCAAAACTATTAATATCCTGCTTTTATTTCAAAAGGCTTTAATAAAATTTTAAAACAAGTTTGCATAAATTTGACAGAAGTATTTATACAAATGTTTTTATTAAATTTAGGTTGTGAACCGAAAGGGAAAAATGGACGAGCGTAAACCACTTTTGATTCTCTTCAACACGGAACCGATGCAATGTTTAGTAACAGCAGCAAAAACCATCGAAATTGTAGATAACGAGCAGAACTACCTATTCAAAAAAAAACTTATCCAAGTGTTTGGCGGTCTAGCCACGCAAGTGTGTACGCTATGGTCCAAGGACGGCCTATCTCGCCCTCAAAACTTCTCCATGTTCTTGGAGGGAATTCTCGCTTACAGCTCCCACCACAGCTTAAGTCTTGCGCATCTAGGCAACCCCATATGGAATTCTATGCTGAAAAACGAGCATGTCGCCAGAGATCCGGTATTTTTGAGCTACATACCGCAGTGGGTGCAGTGCACCGCACCAAAAATCGTCAAGTTTAATTATCCCAACAACCACGGCAGCTCGTCGGATTCGGCTCAAGCTTACGCCAAGATAGAATTTGACAGCGAGGAGGAGTTTGCGCTGTATTTCTACAGGTGTCGCTCCGATTTTCTTGACTCTTTTCGGTAAGAAAGTTTGCTTGTCCCCAGACTTTTATGTTTTGTGTCGTAAAAATTAAATTTTTGTTAGACCATTTGGGAACATCTTTTCAATATTTTAAATGTTTTTATAACATTTTTTAGTTTCAAGATACTTAAGTTTTTTTGAAAGTTATTACATTATTTAAAACAGTTTTTAAGACATTTTTAAAAAGTAATTACTTTGTTAACAAAAGATATTGATTATTTATTAGTTTTAGTACATTTTTTATTAGTAGTACTACAGTTTTAAAATATAACAATTTATTTAATTTACCAATTTTGAGAGTTTTAAACATTTGTTAAACAATTAAACAGGACAGCTTAAAACATTTTTACAAGTATTTTATAGAAAACAATTTTAGAACTTTAGGCAGTTTAAAACATTTTTAAACAATTTTTAAGTGTTTTTTACATTTGGTAAAAAAGGGAATAATGAAGCTTTACTACATGTTTACAAAAATTCTATTTAATATTTTCTAAGATTAAGATTTTTTAATTGTTTACGCTTTTAGAATATTTTTTTAAATTTTTCAACATTTCAAACATTTAAAAAAAATTGTAGGCAAGCCACAGTGGTAGCTCCTTTGGTAACTTTCAACTACGTTGAACAATGGTTAATAAAATGCTTGCAAGTGCCGAATACCACCACAGGGGGCATAAACGACCCCGTCCATCAAGAATGGGAGGCTTTATCCACCCTCTTGGAGAGTATTTTAAGCAGAGTTCTACAGGCACAAGAAAGACCCTCAATAGCTTCAGGTTTACAATTGTTACAACTATGTTTGAACTATCAACCAGCAGACCCGTTGATTTTGAGCACATTATTGACTTGTATATCAGCGTTGTTCGTGTTTTTGAGTATGAGCACCGGACAGATGGCACCACAAGGTAAGAGATACTTAGAGAATATAACACGCGGATTAGGTTTAGAATTATTTAGGATATCATTATCATTTTTAATTTTTTTTTTAATTATCTTAAATTACTTATGTAGACAGATGACCTACAGACCCCCAGGAATCCCAAAAAATTGCAAAAATATTAAATGTTTCATCTAATAAAAAAATGCAATATAGGATTTGTACTTTAACAATACGCATGCGTTTGGCAACATGATGTGCAACTAGGGTTTTAAGTGTCAAAAATAACGAAATATGTGGATAACAACGTTTTTCCGTTTTTTAGGCCTTGGAAAAATTTGCTTTTTTGAAAAAAATATACAAAGCAATCAACAAAAACATTAAATTGAATTGATTTAACGAAATAATGAATGATTAAATTTTATTTTAAGTTAAATTACTACTTAATAATTTTATAAATAGTTATGTTAATACAGCACAGAATTTGTTTTTTTGGAGCCCGGTAAAATATTCTTACTGAATTATAATAATAGGAATAATTATTATAATCATGTATAATATGATTATAAGTAGGAAATTCACTTTTTTATTGATATCAGTGTACAGATATATCTAATCCGTAAAAATTTCATAGTGCCAAAAAGTGACTTTTTATTCGAGTTGCACACATTATTTTTTCTTTTCTGCCATAATAATTTCATAAATATTTAATAACAATGTGAAGAAAAAATTTTGACATTTACAATTATTTTATTTGTACATATGTACAATGTACATATGTCAAAATTTTTTTAAATTTAATTACGCTCTCAAGAAACAAATTGTTATGTTGGTATTGTTGGTATTAATAACAAAAATTAAATTAATTGTTTTCTTGAATAAAAATTATCTTATTTAGGTAAAATTATGTGCTGATTTAATTGGAGTGCAAAAAATACTTTTTTCTACTCCCACCTTTAAAACGCCCATTATCTTACATGCTTCCATGACTAAGTGACCTTTTAAATACACATTCACAAGATATTGGCTTTATGGCGTTTTAGTCATAGGCTAAATTTAGCAACAGGTTTTTAGTCATGGGCTGAAGTTAGTTTTAAGTTAGTTGACCGTTCTCAAATATCATACAATCGTTAAAATAATATTAAATGTAAAAAATATTTTATTATCTCAACACAAAAATACAAAAGTATTAAATAGTTTCTCAACCCCAAAATTTGAAAAGTTTATATGAACATTGTACTGACCTTTTAATTTCGCCGGCAAACTACATTAACTTAATTTCAGGTGAAGACTCCACTGTGGAGTGCCAGTAAAACATTTTCTTTACTTTCTTACTGTAAAAAACTCTTTTTAGATCCGATCCATTTTCAAGGGATACATTTTGATTTACACATAAAAATTGGACATTTGACATAATACACATTTTCAAGTTGGTAATTCTATTGTTTCATAGATGTCGCTCTATACAAATTTTTAATTTAACTCATTTTTAGATAATAATAGGTATTTGTTGTAGAAAAAGTATAGTATGCAACTCGTTTATAAATTTTTCTAGGCACTCATTTAATTAAGCACTCCCTCGCAAGCTCGCTCGTGCCTAAATTAAATTCGTGTCTAATAAGGCGTTTAACGAACTTGATACATGATATACTATTTTTAAGCGTAAAATTCCATTTTATTTTCTCAAGAATGGTTAAAGTTTTTTAAAAAGTTTTTGGTGTTTTAGAAAAATTAATAATATGTTTTATCCTCTGTACATTTAGCTTATGTTCTGTAACAAATTGCTCCTCCAATATGAGATCGTGTTTCTATAAGGTTATATTAACCAAAGCTTAACACACTACTTAAATAACTGTATAGATATAGAGTTATATCCAAGTCGTATGTGAAGCGTGGGTCGCATAAAATCTTGTAAAAACATGAACTTAAACCCTTGTTATGTTGGGGGAGAGATATGCTAAATAAACCACAACATAACCAAAGAAATACCTAACCACATAGGTATTATGTTCCGTGTATTAGGGTGGAGTGAATTTTTTTTATTTATTAACTGATTTTTCCTATATTTTTAATTGTGGACTAAAGGCGTAAAATGAATAAATATCAAAAAAATATTCCAATATTTTAATAACTTAAGGTGGCGCATTAATCTCGAAGTTTTGAAAATTCTAAAAAAATATGACTTCAATCAAAGTAATAAAAATAGCATTATTAATAAATAAAAAGTTTATTTTAGTAAAATTAACTTGAAACGTAAACATATTTAATAGTAAATCATAAGCTTTAAGTAATTTCAGGAGAGTTTATTGGTTGAAATTAGATCGTCTTTTTCGCGAAAATACTGACATTTCGTATCAAAATTTGGTAATTCTTTTCTGGCTTTAATTCTTGTTCTAATGAAACCATCTCTTGCTTCCGATCCACAACCGGGACTGAACATTCAGTATACTGGTTATAACCAGTTTTACACAGCGTTCCACTGCTTAGGTGTGACACGGAAGTTTTTGGAAGTATAGGAAATGGTCACCCGAAGAAATCATATCGGTAATTTCTGTCATAGGTGGTTCAGTTACATTTTCTGTCGCCCAGTGAATTAACTCGTAAAAATGTAATGCTTCAGTGTTTAGTTGTGGAAGCTTTAATTCCCGTAATCTCGAACATTTTGATTTCTCGCCTTTAATATTTCCCGCAATGCTAGTTCTCTGATCGATAGATATCTTGTAGGTAACATAGCAAGTAATAGGTTTTCGGGATGTATATTTCGCTGCATATTCTTTATAACTATAGTTATAAGGCCTTCAAGTTTTTCTGGAGGTGTGATGCTCTTTTAGTCATATTAAATATGTGAATAGGACCATGTTTGCACGTAGGCTTGGTTTTGATGTAAAACCACGTTGGGACATACACTTTCATGATAAAAGTAGCCAATTCTTTTAGGTTTGCCGATGGATTTGCTGTCCCCACATATAAACGAATAATCCTATTAGCACACGTCAGCCAAAGGGAATGTGCTAGCTTTCCTGGATCTTTGTTGGCTATAGCTAACAAAGTTCCTTATAAGGAAGTGGGAATTGTACCTTAAGATATCGCTGAGCAAATTTGGTACACATTTTTTTTATCCGTGCTCAGCAAACTAGCATAAATTTTGGGCAATTTTACGTCGATTACTTCAAAATCCACTACTTCATAGTTCAGGCACTTCTCCAGTTCTTTACCAACACTTCTCCAGTTCTTTACAACACCTATAAAACTTTTTGGCCCTGTTGTTGTACCATCGAGGTATGTGAAGTAAATACACAAACCACTGTAGAGGGCGACCAAGTTATTTTTTCAGTAAAACGATTAGAAACGATGTCCTCTATTTACCGCGGTACCATCACATCCTATTGCAACAAAAATATAAAAGCACATTTGCACGAATTTTTTGAATCGCATTAACAAGTGAGTCAAGCCACGTCAAGTGGGACCAGAAAATTTCACGAAATCACCGATTTTAAAAATAATCACATTATTGTGTAGTAGGCATGACGCTTATATCACAGTAAAAAAAGTGTTTTGAAATTTGCTTTTTAGTAATGTTATTAAAGTAGTGATGCAACGGTTTCGGGTTTTACGGTTACGGTTACGGTTACGGTTAGCTATACGGTTACGAATAAATTCACGGTTATTCAAAAAAAAATTACAGAATTACGAAAAATAAAGTTTTGAAATTAATACACACGTTCAGTAAAGGTTAAATAATAATTTATGTAAAACAAAAACAGAATTTCTAATAAAACTGTAAAACAATAGGAAATGAGTTACATTTTAAACCTAAAAACAGTAAAGTAAAACCTAAGTAGGTACCTGAATAAAATATTTAAAAATATAAAAAAATTAAATGTTAATATTCAAAATTTACGAGTCAAATTTTTATTTAAAAAACATAACATCTGCAAATTCTGCGGAATCAGCCTGTTCCTATTTGGTGTTTGCACAAGACCTGCAGTCGAAAACAACCTCTCCGAATTCACTGACAATGGTTTGTATAATACCTTAGTGCCAACACTCTTAAACGCCGAAACGTGTAACACGTTTTCCAGAATGTAAACGGATTTGACTTAGGTGGTATATTTGGTAACGTTAATTACTCTTCAATTTTTTTTTACATGCATTCACAAAGTAGCATGAAAAACCGTAAATACGGTTACGGTTAACGACATACGGTTACGGTTAACCGTATAATATCGAAAACCGTGAATTAACCGTAACCGTAACCGTAACCGTTGCAACACTATATTAAAGTTAATAATTTTGTCAAACTTTAGAGCATGGTAAAATTGAAAAAATAGAATCTCTGGGAACACTCTGTATAATTGAATTAAATTTTACACACTATTGTAGCAATGTTTAGACTATTAAATAATCATTTAATTAAGGTAAATTTGTTTAAATAAAAGAATTTTGCATACATTTATTATAAACAATTGAAATTTTGTATGTGTTCTTCACGCTGAAAAAAAATTAATCTTGTGTCATAATATGTGGAAAACGTTCCCGTTTAATAAAATGTACTCAAAAATTTGTCCTTCATAGGTCATTCCGGAGATATTAATTTTTTTCTCTCGCTGTGCGCTTGAGCAGTACGCAGCGCGCTTTGCTGCTAGCTCGTTAGCACAGCTTTCCGTTAGAACGTTAGAACCGACCAGCTAGCAGCGAAGCGCGCCGCGTACTGATCGAACGCACAGCTGGACAAAAAATTTAATATCTCCGGAATGAGATATTAAAGACAAATTTTTGAGTACATTTTATTAAACGGGAATGTTTGCCGCATATTATGACACAAGATTAATTTTTTTTCAGCCTGAAAAACACAAAAAATTTCAATTATTTATAATAAATGTATGCAAAATTCTTGTATTTAAACAAATTTACCTTAATTAAATGACAATTCTATAGTCTAAACATTGCTGCAATAGTGTGTAAAATTTAATTCAATTATAGAGAGTGGTCCAAGAGATTCTATTTTTTAAATTTTACCCTGCTCTTAAGTTTGACAAATTTATGAACTTAAATAACATTATCAAAAAACTGAATTTCAAAACAATTTTTTTTACTGTGACATATGGGTCATGCCTACTACTACTGTGACTATTTTCAAAATCTGGTCCCACTTGACGTGGCTTGACTCAAGTAGCAATATCAAATAGTTTTTTGGACTCGTCCCAGAATAACTTCTTTTTTACATCATTGCGAAGTTTTTTTACGCCCTTGTACTTGTTGTAATATAAAATCAACCTCGCCACAACTTGTTGATGGCTAACACTATGAATCGAAGTTTTATTTATTCCATACTTTCTCGATGACACAGGAAATAATTTCACACATTATATGTCGGCAACATGTTTTCAGAAATTTTTTGTGGTTCACCTAATACAGGACATCGCCAATCTTCACGAGTGTTAGGCATTTTGCAACCGCTCGATTATTAAGTCGGTATACAAAAATTATTTATTGATGATAGCGACGCGGTGAGCGCCTCTATCGGATGGGAGTATAACTAATACTAAACTATAGACATGCCAAAAAGAACAATGTTGGTTTTAAACTATTGACATAATAATTATCAGTATTTTAATAAAAATCCGCGCCTAAAACAGAATTTGTTTTTTTCTTGCTGCATGCGCCACCTGAAGATAAAGTCCTAGAGTCAAATTTTTTTTCATAGTTAATGTACTCATATGTGGTCAACAATAAATAATATGGGAAAGAAGAAATACGAAAAAAAATTTTTTTTCGACCTTTTCACTCCACTTTACTGTGTATTTCATTTTAGTACATTTTGCTTTTGCGTCAGTTGAAAAAACCGTAATTATGTGGGGCCCTTAAACCATTGTTAGAGTTCAAACGCTGTAACATAAGGAGAGTTTAATACTGCAAGGCTGCTCTTTAGTTATTCGAAGATAAAAATAATATTCCTTGAATATTTTGCATGTAACAACGCGTTAAACATTCTTAGTTTGGGCTGCCGTCCAGTGCGCTGGCCTAGTATTTTCTTTCTTCTCTAAAATTATGATTATGTTCGTTATAAATTTATGAAAGACTTCTCTTTAATTATTTGAAGTCATAAATAATTTTCCCTGAATATTTTGAATGTAACAACGCGTTAAACATTCATCGTTTGTGCTGGCTTCTAGCGCGGTGATCTGTTCTTTCCTTTATTTTCGCGGAGCGCGTCAGTGAAGTGGCGTTACATATTTTTAGTTATAATGTAAAAATCAGTTTAATAAAACTACTCAGTTAAAACTCTTTAATGTTTTTACCTGGTTTGGATAAACATTTTATAGTTTAAAATTTCATTACTTTTTTATTAAAGAATAAATGAGGAGCGTTTATTCAAAAAGGGACATGTGCACAAAAAAAACAAAAATTTTCAATCTTTCCTATCATTTCTATCGTTCAAATCGTTTTAAAAAATGGCATGTCCCTGTGAGATCCCCATATAAAAGTGTTATGTTCGAACAAAATAAGACATGTCCACCCCACATGAAAATTAAATTTGTTTTAATCAAAATCAGACAAGTCTACTAGTATTACTTTTGGGTAAATACCGATTTTATTCAAAAAAGACAAGTCCGCCTTGTGCTATTTTTTTGTTATTTCTGTACCGATACCTGGTTATTTCAAATCGACCTTACTAAAATGCACGCTGCATGAGTGGGGGAATCTCTTAATCGACGTTCGCCGCGTATTGTCGTTTGTTTATCGTACTCGTAAGTTAATCATAGAGGTTAAAGCGGTTCTCCACGATATCAGTAAATTGTGTTTCGTTTTGTTTTTTTTTTAACGTGTGGTGTTTGTTTGCCGGCTTTTTTGAAAGGTATTTTGTGAGAGTTTTGAAATGTTTCTGCAGTTAGATAGTAGTTAATATGGATGTCAAAGTGGAGAATATTAATGTTGGCAGTAGGAAAAAGCAGCCTAAAATCTCAAAAGTATATATTTTGAAACGACAGAGGTAATTTTTTTATTCATACATTTTCGAGGATGTAACCTCGTTTTTTCTATTGTTATAGGTATTCTGATCAAAATCCAAAGTTCAGAGGTTTTGTGTAATCATAACACCAATTCATTGAAATGTGCCTTAGTAAAAAAATCTGATATTTTGCAAGCAAGGCAAAAGTTTTTCGAGACACCAAACAAGATATTACAAGATCAGAAATATGTCATCTTTTGTCTGTTCGTCAGCCGAAAAGAAAGGGATGGTGTAAATGAATAGAAACGGAAGGCCAAAAATATGGTTGCTTCTTATTTTTTCCGAGTTTGTCGTGGACAAAAATTGTCGACTTTGCCAGTTTATAGGCAGTTTTTTGCTTCAGCCTTCAGTGTTTTAAAAACCAGAATCCAGACCATATTGAAAACCCTGCGAGATGGAAACGTTCTTAAGGAATATCGTGGTGGTGATCGTTATGCTAACAAAATTTTGGACAAGAACCAAAGAATTCGTGATTTTTTGAACAGTTTGCCAGCTAGTGAAAGCCTTTATAACCGCAGTAAGTCCCGTCGTGTGCATCTCTCCTGTCAACTAAACTTGGAAAAGCTATGGAAAATGTTTAACGATAACCATGCCAATTTCCGTGCAACGAAATCAATGTTCAAAAGAGTTTTCTATTTCGAATTCAACATTGGGTTTTCGTCCACAAACAAACTTAAAAAAGAAAGAAGAAAGAACCTGAAAACAAAGCAAAGTTGATGACAGATCTGAGAATCCATAAACTGCTGAATGAAACTCCCGATAAGAGTGTAACATTTTGCTTTGACTAACAACAAATTCATCCCTTCCAAAGACCCCAATCCAAGATGCGTTCTACTTAAGGCAAATCAGTTTTTATGCCTATAGTTGCGTTGATGTAAAATCAAGCAGCTCGCGGGTCAGTTGAAATTGGTTCAGCTTTGCTTAACCATCTGAGGTCCATGAACCTGGAGGAAGTCGTTAGATTGTTTTGTGATGGTTGCGGCGGGCAAAACAAAAATGCACATGTTGTTCATATTCTGTCATATTGGCTTCAGAATGAGTCTCCTAACAAAGTCAAGGAGTTGGTTTTGCATTTTCCCGTCAGAGGCCATTCGTACCTGCCGGCGGACCGAGTGTTTGGTCGCGTGGAAAAAAGTTGTCGTTATTGCTAATCCCGAAGAATAAAATACAGTATATTCCCAGGTGGGTGAGGTAAAGAAATTAGAAGTTAACTGGCGTTTGTATGATGTAAAGAAACTTTTGGAAACATATAATAAAGTGCCTGTGATAAAAGAATTTAAAAATATTACAATTAAGAAGTTTCCATTCAAAAATATCCAGTTTAAAGTAAAATATAAGGAATCCGAATTTTTTAGATACGAAGACATTTCAAATTCGTATGGGAACTTACTGAGAAAAGGACAGACAGGAAGAAATATAAGACTGGAAGAACAAAATTTGGATTTCAAATGAAAAAAATCAAAATGTAAGGACCCTTTTTCAAAAACAATTTGATAATAAAGAACTGAAGTGGCAAACTTACCTGAGTTAGATTTTTTTTTAATTCTTTAAGAAAGTACAACTGAAGAGGCTGCAGCTGAAGAAGCTGAAATAGAAACAGAAGAGTGCGACTGTTTGGAAGCTGATCATGAACTTCATATTTGAAAAAATAGAATGTTACTTATTTGTCTTACTTTCATTTAAATAAAAGTTTACAAAGAAAAACATTGACTCTAACATTTATTTTTACTTTATAAAAATATGAAAACCAAAATTCGTACGTCGAAGTTCAAACAAAATGGGAAATAAACATTTAGTTCAGTCAAAAAGATACATGTCCAAAATTATTTTAGAATTTTCTTTTAAAAAAAATAATATTCAAAAATTTTTTTTGGCAATATATTTTAAGGCGGACAACGAATTATAATTTATCGCATTTACATTTTAGCTCTAGCGGTCTCAATCTGAAATGTTTTTTTCGTTTTTCTCAAAATCATTTTAAGTGGACATGTTCCTTTTTGAATAAACGCTCCTAAAATAAAACCCATTAAAGCTAACATTTAAGTACATTTCTATACATAAAAGACCAAATATATTTTATTTTGTATATGTATTTAGTATTTGTAAAAAAAAATTCCATAAAAGGGGAGTTTCAAATCTAAAAAATATTAGAAATAGGTGCTTTCACCGACTGAGATTTTAAGTTGTGCTCCCGGGCCATTCCACGCTTAACGGATAGGACAGTTGCCGTGTTCTTATTTACAAAATAATATTGTTTTATTATATTACCAATGTCAAATTTTTATAAATAGTTCTAAACTAAAGCTGTTTAACGAGGTTTTTATTTGGCAAAATTAGGTATCGTGATTGACTGTTTAATTTCTTAAAAATTAATAATTTAAAGCGTAACGGGCGGGACTATTACAAAGTCCCGTCCGTTACGCTTTAAATTATTAGTTTTTAAGGAATTAAACAGTCAACCACCATACCTAATTTTGTCAAATAAAAACCTTGTTAAACAGCTTTAGTTTAGAACTATTTATAAAAATTTAACATTGGTAATAGATATACTAGAACAATATTATTTTGTAAATAAAAACACGGCAACTGTCCTATCCGTTACGCGTGGAATGGCTCCTATAGGGACCTATATGTTTGACATGATGTTACTACAATGTATTCCCACTCATAAATTCTTTAAAGACCAACAAACATATGAAAGTATTATATTTTTTACAGTTAACTCAGTGGCCGCTTCCGGGGCCGTCCTTCTCCCTCAAGTCCTGGAGAAGATATTCTCGACCCTAATATTTTCTCCGGAAAACAAAGATTCTCGTTCGCGCGCGGTGAAAAACGTTCGACGTCACGCGGCTTCTTTAATGGTAAAAATAGGAAACAAATACCCGTTATTGCTGTTACCCGTTTTCGATCAAATCCGAGCTACTGTAGATAGTTTATCTCAAGCGCAAGGACCGGGTGGTTTGACAACATTGGAGAAGGTAACACTTAAGGAGGCGCTATTGTTGATATCCAATCATTTTTGTGATTACGATAGACAGAGCAATTTTGTCGGGGAAGTTCTGCGTGAGGCTAGCACTCTGTTTATGAGTATTGTTAACCAGGGAGCATTCAAAGGTGCTAGGGAGTTTATAGCTTTTGTGGGGTTAACCAAAGATGCACAGGATGACTCCTGCGGTCAAAACCGTAGCAATATTGTTTTCTGTGTAAATTTGATTTTGGGTGCTATAAAAAGGTGCTCGTGGCCCGACGATCCAGAACGCGCCACCAGAGGGGGTTTCGTGGTATCGCTAACCGAATCGGGGAATCCCGTTTTTAGAAACCCCGCAGCCCCTCACGTAGTGCCACTACTGCCGCATTTATTATCCCTTATCAAAATATTCAACGAAACTTTTACGCCCGACGCCCAAAGTACTATTCACGACAGCTACAAGGGTTGCCTATCGATGCCGGAAGCCGAAAAGTCAAATCTATTGGGTTTGATTGGCCATGCTTCTGCCGACACCAACGATTCTCAATCAAGTTTGAACCCTGTGGAGCGTATGCAAAGGTTTTTGACTTCACTACACGAAAGCTGCTACCATATGATGGGTTCGCTAGGTCCTTCTCTAGGAAGGGATCTGTACGCCATTCCTGATATCGGTTTAGCTATCGTTAACAGCATTTTATCGCATTTAGATGTAAGTATTTACTAATTTTCTTTCTGATCATACTTTTTTATAGTTTAGATTTTTTTGCTTAAAGTTTTTTATAATATTAAAGGCATTAACCTCTTGTGACAATACAATTTTAGTTCATTTTAAGAAGTGCAGTTTTTAGAATGCTTTAGGACAATTTTAGAACATTTAGACAATTTTATGAAACTTTCAGATTTAGGACATTATAGAGTTTTTAGAATATTTTTAGGCCATTTTATGAAATTTATACAGATTTATGACACTGATAGTTTTAGGACATTTTAACTTAAAACTTTTTAGACAATTTCATAATGTTTTAGATAGTTGTAAGATGACAATTTTAAATGGTTTAAAGACATTTGCATTTGTACTAAATATTTTTTAAACAGCAACTTAAAAAATTATAAAATCAACTAAATAAAATAATGTTAAAGAAATAGGGAAATGCATTTTGATTATAATGTTAATGTATATTTTCTTGCAGTATATCCCAGACTATAGACTTAGGCCAATAATAAGGGTATTTTTGAAAGCCTTCGTTTATTCTTGTCCAGCACCTTACTACGAAGTAGATCTTCTACCAATATTAACACACATTACACCCATAAGTAAGTAAAAAACACAGTTGCCCAAAGTATCTCTACTTTTTATTTATTAAAAAAAAACTGAAATGTTATCTATCTAAAAAAATGTTTAGTGCTTTCAAAACTGCATTTAAAATGGCAACTGGTGATCGAATTTCGCAACAGGGAAGCACAAGAAGACAACACAGATACACAGGAAGTTTTAGAGGACATTCTTACTAGAGCTCTGACTAGGGAGTACTTGGACTTTCTCAAGGTGGCGCTTGTTGGAGGTAGCTTAACTCCCGAATCGAATTCGGAGACTATGGAGACCGAGGAATTGAGCATGGACTCCCCCACCCCGCCACCGACGAGGGCCAATATGGCTGCCGAGGTCATATCGGATCTAGGTAAGAAAATAAATAGTTTTAAAATTAGTCATGTCATTATTTAATTTTTTAAGGGCTTAAGTGGTAGCATTCGCATATGTTAATATTTTTTACTCTTATTGATTTTTTATCATGATTCCTTAATATTCACAATTTAAGTTCTGGTTTAAATTGTGTTTAAGGATCAGAATATTTTAAAATGTTTTAATTAACAATGTAATTTTCTTTTTTACCTCTTCAATTTTTTTTTCTGTTTAAAGTGGGCCAATCAGAGAGCTTAATTTGTCAATTTTTGACCAATCAATTAATTATTGCGAATATTGGACTAGTAAAAATTGCAGCAAATATTGCACTACAAGGTGAAAATTTTTCAATTTCAATTCCTTTTGGTCTAAATTTTTTGAATTTTTAGTTCAGTAAAATTTTGTTCTAAATATACCACTTGTATAAAAAATATATGTATATAAATCAAGTTCAAGTAAAAAAGGTTTTATCCAATCATTGTAATGTAAAACCATATTTAAGAAAGTTGAATGCATATTTAAGAATATAAAACCAGTCAAAACATACTATTTATAAATTTTAAAAATATTTAAGACTCATAATTTTCAAAATTCCTTTATCAAAAGATTGATTTTAAATTTATGTAGAGCGAGGCGAAAGTGGCGGATTTCAAATAAATTGTTTTTTCATCCTTTAGGAAGAAAAAGTAATGAGGTAGCGGGATAAACAGTTATTTATGTATGAAGGCAGTAAAGTCGTATTTTTTATCACGAATGTGGAAATAACCATGTGAGTGATAAAAAATGACTTTAATGCCGAGGTGCATATTAAATTTTATCCGAAATTATACTAATAATATATATACATAATATATATATATATACAGGGTGTCCGGGAAAATGTGGGAAATATCTCGGATTCAGATAAAATATGAAAAAATAAGATGACATGTTTCTATAACAAAATTTCCTACTTGCCCTACTTACGGAGACATGGGCCCCGAAAGGACACCCCTGCAAATTGGTTTTCCTTGAATAACTTTTAAAGTACTGAATATAATTTAATAAAAATTTAATATGATGGACCCTGGTGAGGATCTTTTAAAATGGTGTACTTGAATCATTTTTTGCTTTTTTGTTTACCAGGGGCGGACTAAGTATTACACCTTAATGCTTAAATTTTGAACACCCCGTATGGTAATGACTTAAAAAAACTAAATTTGCGTAGCATGAACCTAAAATAAAGGTACTCCTGTTTATTGTCAATAAAATGAACCGTTTTCGAGAAAAAAAAAAAACGAATTCATGTTTTATTTTTAATAAAAAGGATCATAAAAAATAATATAACGTATTGTTGCAAACCCTAAATTGAAGGACGATAATTCGAAACAATGAATTAAAAACTTTATAAGAGGGTTCAACATGGGCTCCGTGAACTCTGATACATTCGCGGGCACGACGAATTGAGGACTGCTGTACCCGCCACAATAACCCAGCATTGTTTCTTATCATATCACAATGAAACGTGATTATCTGTAGAAGTTTTTTAGGTGTCCCCACAGGAAAAAATCCATCAGCGTAAGGTCGGGAGATCGAGGAAGCCAGTCAATAGTCAATAGGTTCTTATCTACCTAACCAACGGTTTGGATAAACGTTATTTAAGTGCTTCCGCAAAGCAACGCTGAAATGAGGTGATGCCCGATCGTGCAAGAAGTACATGTTTAGGCGGGTTTCAAGTGGTAAGGACTCTATTAAATCCCGAAAAGCGTTCTGGAGAAACTCAAATTAAGTTGTCCATTCAATCGTGCCGGAAATACAATTGGTCCAATCAAAATATTGCCAATGATTTCTGCCCACATATTAATTGGTTGGAACTGATGTTGATAATGCGAAACAATAGTGGCATGAGGATTTTCATCAGCCCATACATGTGTGTTGTGTAAATCCGTGATACCTTTTTTGGTAAATCCTGCTTCATCCGTGAAAAGAATAGTGCCAGTTTGCAAACTGCATTCTACGAGGAAAATCTTCAGAAATAAGTTGATGCACTTTTTGCGTATGATCTGGATATAACAGCTGTTCTTAAAGTCCATCATATTAAATTTTTATTTTTTTATTAAATTAAATATACAGTGTGTCCGTAAAGTCCCGGAACATGTGATTATTTTTAAAACGGTAATTTTTTTAAAAAATCGCTGAAACCCGTCAACTTTGTTATTTTTCTAGCAATGTTTTAGCCTATATAGTTGTTCCAAAATATGCCGCGTGGCGGCGCCCCAATCGAAGTAAGGTTTTTTTAAATTACAACCCTTTATTTTTGTTGCATTTTTGGATAGCTACCGTTGTCCTGAGTACATTGATATGCTACATGTGGAGGGTTAAATAAGAAAATTTTTGAGAAAAGTAGGTTTTTTCCGCCGATTGAGATTTTGGTTTTGACGAACTTATTCGCTGTTACGGGGCACCACCACACTATGCATTTCTAGTAAGGGATTATTTAAATCAGGTCTTTCCCAATCGCTGAATAGGTCGAAGGGGTCCAATTGAGTGGCCAGCGCGATCGCCCGGTTTGAACCCTTTAGACTTATTTTTATGGGGACATCTTAAAAACCGCGTCTATGTAAACAGGCCTTAAAATTTGGACGACCGAAGACATCGCATTCAAGCCGAGATCCAGATGATCACTCCAGCGGTACTGGCAAACGTACAACGCTCGTTTGTGGACAGGCTGGCCCACTGCCAAATAGATTACGGTGGACACTTTGAGCAACTGCTCTGATTGGCATTCCAAAAAACATTAAGCAACGCATTATTGTGTTTAAGTTTGACAAAATACCAAAATCTCATTCGGCGGCAAAAACCTGCTTTTCTCAAAAATTTTCTTATGTAACCCTCCAGATGTGGCACATCAATGTAATCAGGACAACGGTAGCTATCCGAAAATGCAACAAAAATAAAGGGTTGCAATTAAAAAAAAACTGACTATAATTGTGGCGCCGCCACGCGGCAGAATTTGGAACAACTACATATGCCAAAATATTGCTAGAAAAATAACAAAGTTGACGTGTTTCAGCGTTTTTAAAAAAAAATTACAGTTTTTAAAATAATCCCATGTTCCGGAACTAATAATAAATATTCAGTACTTTAAAAATTATTCAAGGGAAACCAATTTGCAGCGGCGTCCTTTCGGGGCCCATCTCTCCGTAAGGAGAGCCAGTAGGAAAAAATGTTATAGGAACGTGTCATCTTATTTTTTCATGTTCTATCTGAATCCGAGATATTTTCCACATTTTCCCGGACACCCTGTATAATATTGATGATTAAATCAAATGTCATTTGAATGTAGGAAGTGTCTACGTATACTGTTTGTTGCGACGGTTATTATATATTTCCTGCCGCGGCGATTTTTTAATCTAATTAATAAAATTAACTTATTATTTTTATTAAACAACATTTTATGAAAGGGTCCAATCGACCTCCGCGACTTTTTTTAAATATTATTTAGTTGCTGCTGAGGAGCCGTAGACACATCTTAAAATGTATAATGGGTTGCATACAATACTTGTTTTAAATCTACTTTACTGCCGATTTCTTTTACTTTACTGCCGATTGTTGACTACTTTACTGCCGATTTCGGATAAAAGTAATTTAACGGCGCGTGATTGGTCGAAAGCGAAGTGCCCATTGGAGCCAACTTTAAGCTTTCTACTCTTATCCATATACTTCTTCCACACATATACTGCATAATCGTTAATTTTGTATAGACGACCTTGTTTCTTTTTTGTGAGAAAATTTGTAGATTTGCCGTATCGCTTTACCTTACGGCCATTCCAAGCCCATGGACAGGACACATCAGAAACATGTCTAAATATATTCTTGTTACTTCCTTAAGTTTACTTATTTTTTCTACGAGTATTTATGAGAAGTATTAGCCAATTTTGGCTAATACTTCTCATAAATACTCGTAGAAAAAATAAGTAAACTCAAGGAAGTAACAAGAATATATTTAGACATGTTTCTGATGTGTCCTGTCCATGGGCTTGGAATGGCCGCTTATGCGCAGTCTGTTAATAAATGGGGGATTTAAAATATATGATACCACGGACATATTAATACGTCCACGTATGATACGAATTGTCCTAAAATAAAAATATTGTTTCAGAGCATATTTTTAATTATTTGTCAAATAAATATTACAAATAATAAAAACAATTTGAACCAAAAATATAAAAAAATAGTTTTATACACTGTGCCTGTTTTTGCTTTCAAGCTAAAACAATTGTTTTTACCTACATGGTGTATTTTTTATTTTCTTATTAAATGCCTTTTAAACTTTTATTACTGGCAAAAACTGTTAATATTATTAACTTAACTTAATAATATAATAATATGTATATTCAATTTGAAATACCTATGCTTTTGTCCCTCAATTTCATTTTCTTTTATGTTTAATAGTACCTACCTAGCTATATTATATAGTCGAAAAATAAATAGAGTGTAAATTTCCTCCTCAGAAAAAAAGTCCCCTCTACCTACTGTACTGCACATAATTTAAAAATTTAAAAGAAAAAATAAGTTGAACATGGTCTAAAATTTAAAATTCTTCAAAAGTATTTAAAAAATAAGACAACTATTTTGGTTTTCTTTTATAATGCTTATTATTTATTAAATAGTATTTTTTTTTAATTAACTAGGTATTATATTAAAAAGTAAACATTTATGGAAGGTATTTATGTTTTAAATAATAAAAAAATTAATCAATAAATATTTTCACCCAAGTTCAATGTTTGGGGTAGGTATATCCATATTTTAAATCAGTCGTTAACGACTGATATAAATTATATCAACCAATTTACATTTTAGATGATTTTATTGGCCAAAAAACAAATCTAGTAAACCATGATAGTAGCGAAATTATTTTCTATGGTTAAAATCAAATGTCACTAATGTCAAATAAATCTTGATGAAATTTTAATTCTTTTATGTCTAATTTAAAATGTCAATGTATAGAAATCGACT